AATTTTTTGTGCCTGCATTGCGGACAATAACTGGTAGGGAGGAAGTGATGGATCATGAGAATGATCCCATTAGTAAAAACAGTAGCATAGTTTTCTCTGAACCTATTTACAAACAGACAGAAGATGTGGTGCACCTGTCTCCAAGTAGACAATTAATAGCAGATTCTTTACACATTGATGAATATACATATGATGGATGTGGAAAGACCATCTGTTTAAGTGGGGAAATGGATGCAAAAGAACTCCATTCAACTAGGCCTCGACCCATTATTATAATTGGACGTGGAAAGAGGTTGCGGTTTATGAATGTCAAAATTGAGGTACTGATCCTTCCCCTTCATCTGTAACAATATTTGTGGCTGGTTTTTTAGTTATTTTAATGCAGAATCAAGACAGGCCTAAGATTTCATTACTATTTAGATGGCGTGCAATTGGTGTCTTCCAATAAAGAATGAGAAACTTCGTGTCTGACAAGGATATAGAAACCGGAAAAGTGACTATAGAAGATGGAGATTATGTGATCATGAGTCTTGCTTTGTTTTATTTATATATATTCTTGGGTGGTTTGTCTCATGTCTTAGTATTGGGCATGTGTATAGTATATTCTTTCTCGAGTTTGCTGCATTTTTCAACATTTGATTGATACTTTCCTGTTATACATCAGAATGGTTCTCTTTTGAGGAATTATACATGCTTGAGTAATGATAGCAGCTACTCAGTATCCTTTGAGGATGGTGTAGACATCATGTTGCTGGACAGTTCCTCATCTGATGATGACGACAAGAAGAGTCTGGAATACTTGCATAACTCTTCTGACACCTCAAATATTTCTTCGTATTCTGAAAGTGATCCAATCCCAAGTTTCAGTTTTGAAGCACAGGTAAGTAAATTATTAATGATAAGGCTTAATTGGTGATTTGCCCCCTGAACTTGTGCCTAAGTTTCGTTTTACCCCCTATCCTTTTTTTTTAAGAAAACTAAGGACCCGAACTAATTGTTTTCGCCAATTTGCCCCCCGACGTCAAAATCTGCCACTTCCCATCCATTCTGCCATCAAGTTGGTGTTTTGGTGGAGACGTGAAATGACAAAAGTAACCTCCAACTTGATGGCCAGATGGATGGGAAGTGGCATATTTTGATGTCTGGGGGCAAATTGGCGAAAAAAATTAGTTCGGGTCCGTAATTTTCTTAAAAAATATGATACGGGGTAAATCGAAACCTATGTACAAGTTTAGGGGGCAAATCACCAGTTAACCCTTAATGATAAATCTGTTTATGGCGTACTATTTACTAGGTACAAGGGGGTCAATGTCTCTAGCATGGCTTTTTTTTTTGCTTTTGTTGATAACCTTTTGTGTAGTTATGCTGGTTCTGATGTACTTAATGATTTTTAGGTTGTTTCTCCTGAGTTTACCTTCTATGATGCTTCAAAGTCTTCTCTGGATGATTCATATGGTGAAAAGCTTCTCCGTGCAAAGTTGGATTTTAGCTTCATGTAAGAGTTGTCATATTTTATTCACATAATAATTTCATATTTTCCAGGGAAAAGTTAGGGTGCAATATAATCTAACTGCAAATATGAGTTGAATTTTATTTTTGATATATATATACACAAATTAATGTTGATGGATTTATTGTGAGCATATTTCAGAGACATCTGTACTGATATAGGCAAAAATCCATGGATATTCGTTTAAAAACATAGACATTTTTAGTAAAACTCTGAGGAATTATAAACCCATCATTAATGCATCAATTTTAAGCAGTAGTAATCTTTATTAATTAGTATATTTATGATAACTATATGATATTTTATTTTCACATAATAATTTTATATTTTCCTGGGAAAAGTTAGGGTGCAATATAATCTAACTGCAAATATGAGTTGAATTTTATTTTTGATATATATAGACATATTAATGTTGATGGATTTATTGTGAGCATATTTCAGAGATATCTGTACTGATATAGGCACAAATCCATGGATATTCGTTTAAAAACATAGACATTTTTAGTAAAATTCTGGGGAATTATAAATCCATCATTAATGCATCAATTTTAAGCAGTAGTAATCTTTATTGATTAGTATATCTATGATAACTATATGATATTTAGGGCGAATACAATATGTGGCGTTGATACGTTAAAAGCACACAATTTTGTTTCTTGTAACTGATAAAAAACACATTAAAAAGTGCCCTCATCATGTCTGTTTAGGATTCAGCACAACACCTTACCCATTGTCATCCATCACTTAAGGTACCACCATCTACAGTAGCCAGTTCTTTGAATGTGCTATCATCACTCATCATCATTGTGTATGTGTGTAGTGTTGATCAGAATTTTATGAAAATTTTGATGATCTACACAGATTGATAACCAAATCTTTTTCTTTTTCCTTTTAAAAAAAAAATTAGGAACAAACTAATTGTATTGAAAAATTGAAAGATGTAATTGATGTGCACAAGCAGTCCACAAAAGATATTAGGCACAGCCTACAAGAGCAAAACATAATAGCTGTACTACACGGACAAACACCACTCAGTCCTAAAAACAGCAACATTAACCACCCAATTGACACTCAATGACCAAGACACAGCAGCTTCCGAATCCATGTTCAAGAAAAAGAAGGGCAGTCCAGAAATCAGGAGAAACTTAAGGCCAAATAGAGAAGCCCAAAGTCTTGATTTATTGGCATAGTTCATCCATTGACTCCACAATTATCCCAAAAAAATGATGTTGTTTCCCTGCTTTTGGTTCTTTGAATCATATGTGATTTAGTTCTAGATTTTCCATCTTCAGGTAATGTTTCCTTTTTGTTCTTTCCACCTATATTTGTTGTGGCTGATATGTCTTAAGACAAAATGCATATGTGAATTGTAGTTGCCTCAGTTCTTTGGCAGCTTTTGGGTTGATTATAGACACACACACACATACATGTATATATGTATTCTTTTCCATCTCCATTTGCTCTCGCTCTTCTCATAAATGATACTCTTGAGAGCTTGCATTCTGGAAATTTACCACTTATATTCTAAAAGTATTTCAACGTAGTATTGTAGTGGTAAAAGAATTTGAACTAATTGAGCTATATAACCTGTTAATCTAACAGGTATGCATCTAAAGAAAATGATACCTGGATTCGAGCCCTGGTGAAAGATCTTACAGTTGAGGCTGGTTCTGGTCTTATTGTTCTTGATCCAGTAGATATATCTGGGGGTTACACTTCTGTTAAGGACAAAACAAATATGTCTTTGTTATCAACTGATGTTTGCTTCCATCTTTCACTGAGTGTTGTTTCCCTTATACTTAATTTGCAAAGCCAGGCAACAGCAGCATTGCAATTTGGAAATCCTATGCCCTTGGTTGCATGTACCAATTTTGATCGAATTTGGGTGTCCCCAAAAGGTCTTTCATCAGATTAACTGGAGCAATTTGATATCTTACCTGTACTATTTTTTCCATGAGTGTTGCTTTCCTGTTAGTCATCAAGAGTTTTGTCTATATTTGTGCAGAAAATGGATCTTGTTACAACCTTACCTTTTGGAGGCCTCGAGCACCTTCAAATTATGTTATATTGGGAGATTGTGTGACATCAAGGTAGAATTTGATGGACTTTTTGTTTTGAGAAGAAATAGAATTTTATTAATGAAATGGAAATAGCAATCTGTAGACAAGCAGTTCACATCAACAGATATGAAACTAAAAGCTCCTATTTGACAAGAATAGTTATCAAAGAATGTTGTTCCATGCTGCATATTCTTATTTGGGGTACTAGTTATCAAAGAATACAAGAAGTATGCTATGATTTATGCAGAGGCTCTCAAGCGGTAATAAATTAGAAAGGAAGGTAATGTACATATCAGGAGTATAAGTTAATCCGGTTAGTTTGGAAGGCAGTAATAAGTTAGGATTAGTTGTCTAAGGTTAAAGATGGATTGGATCTTGCCTGTATGTTTCGTGGTTCCGAATGTGAAGGTGGACTTCTTTTCCACAGTACTTTTTGAGTGGATATTAATATAAGTTTCATTCCTTTCACAACAAAAGTACAAGTCAATCTCTCAGTCTTGAGAAAAATATCTCTTTGTTTTAGGTTGCCAGTATGTAGAAACATGCCAGGCATATGCTGATGTTCCTTCATCATGTGGAATTAGTACTCTGAGGAGTTTTAATAAAAAAATGTTTAATAACAAAATAGATAGTGCATGCATAATGGTGTAAACAATAATACAAATCATGATTTGCATTTGAAATGAATAATTAAATGAGATGAACTAATTAATAATATATGGATGGTTTAGGGTAGAGCTTGGTAGCTTGTTGTATTTAGTTTATTTTTAAATGTCGCTCTATTTTGGTAAGATGCTTTCTCGTGTAGTTCTATTATGTGTGTTCAGATGCTATATTTAGTTATTTTGGGTTTTTGTGATATGTCTTCAGGCCAATTCCTCCTTCACAGGCAGTAATGGCAGTGAGTAATGCATATGGGCGTGTGCGTAAGCCAATTGGTTTCAATCTCATAGGCTTGTTCTCTGCTATTCAAGGATTTGGTGGGGGTGATTCTGATGTTGGTAGTGATTGTTCTCTTTGGATGCCTGTAGCACCACCAGGATACATAGCGTTGGGTTGTATAGCAAATATTGGGAAAGAACCCCCAACTAATCACATTGTTTATTGCATTCGTTCTGATCTTGTAACGTCAACAACATATTCAGAATGCTTATTTTGCTCTCCGTCAAATCCTCAATTTGCATCTGGATTTAGCATCTGGCGTGTAGAAAATGTTCTTGGATCATTTCATGCCTCTTCTTCTGCTGAATGCCCTTCCAAAAACAATTGTTGTAACCTCAGTCATCTTCTTCTTTGGAATTGGAATCGGCATCATTCTTCTCCTAAAGAATCTGCCTCAAATTTGGCTGTTGATCATAGCTCTGGATGTCAGCAAACCAGAAACCAGACTGGAAATTCTTCTGGATGGGATATTGTCAGATCATTTTCAAAGGCAAATAATTGTTATATGTCGACCCCTAACTTTGAGAGAATCTGGTGGGACAAGGGTAGTGACCTCCGCCGACCAGTCTCAATATGGCGACCCATTGCGCGTCGAGGCTATGCCATAATGGGTGATTGCATTACCGAAGGGTTAGAAAATTTTATCTCTCAGTTTTCTTTATCAGTCTTAGTCATTTGATTTATTTTTTGTATTTTTTATTGACCATCATGTGTTCATTCTTTCAGCTTAGAGCCACCAGCTGTGGGCATAGTTTTTAAGGCTGATGATCCCGAAGTATCTGCGAAACCCGTGCAATTTACTAAAGTTGCACATGTTGTAGGCAAAGGTTTGGATGAAGTCTTCTTCTGGTACCCACTTGCTCCACCTGGTTATGCTTCTCTTGGTTGCATAGTCTCCAGAATGGATGAAGCCCCATGTGTAGATACGTTTTGTTGCCCTAGGATGGATCTTGTTAACCAAGCTAATATTCTTGAGGTGCCAATTTCAAGATCTTCGACTTCTAAGGGATCTCAATGCTGGAGCATTTGGAGAGTTGAAAATCAGGTTAGGTCTTTCTTTTTTTTTGGGTTGTTCAGAAACATGAACTTCTGTTTAATGAGAAAGAAGTACTGATGGCGACAGGCTTTACAAGAAATTAAGTCACATTAAGCTCAAATCTCTCACCTAATGACACTAAAAGGAGTATCCCTAGATTGCTTTGACAGTGATGTTCATAACGAAGCTAAATATCTGATTCTGTCCCATATAAGTCCACTTCCTGGCTGTGTCATCAAGTTTCTTGTTATTTCTTTCCATCCAAATAATCCAGCCAGAAGCCAAAACATGTTAAGATGAATATTCAGTTCTCTCAGTCTGAATCTGGCGTGTACACATGCAGCTGCCATAGCTGAAGTTTGGTATAGTTGTCCGTGAAAAGTAACTTTTATCTTAACAGGAAGTTTATTATAAGGTGTTTGTATTTAGCTTATTCTGTTGGTTGTGTCACAAGATTACAAGTTTTTACATAATTTAGGGCTCTCTTCTGTTTTTGCAGGCATCAACTTTTCTTGCACGGGCTGATCTGAAAAAACCGTCAAGCAGATTGGCTTATGCTATTGGTGATTCCATGAAGCCAAAGGCTAGGGAAAACATAACTGCAGAAGTGAAGCTAAGATGCTTCTCTTTAACTGTTCTAGACAGCTTATGTGGAATGGTATGTCTTATAAACACATCCTAAGTCTGCAGTCTGATGTAAAGATGGTTCTCTTTCTTATTACCGTTAATGTTTGTAGATTTTATTTAGTAACTTGGATCTTTCAGATGACACCACTATTTGACACGACAATCACCAATATCAAGCTTGCAACACATGGTCGACTGGAGGCTATGAATGCAGTACTGATCTCCTCTATTGCTGCATCAACCTTCAACACCCAGTTAGAAGCATGGGAGCCACTTGTGGAACCTTTTGATGGAATATTCAAGTATTATATTGTTTCTTTCTATTTGGTCTTAATACAGTTTACTTGATTTTTTTGTAATATTCAAGAATTATTTTTCTTGGCTTTTTCAAGGTTTGAAACATATGACACCAATGTACACTCGCCCTCAAAATTTGGGAAGACAATGCGTATTGCTGCTACCAGTATCCTTAATTTAAATGTCAGTGCTGCAAACCTTGAAACTTTTATAGGGAGCATTCTTTCATGGAGAAGACAATTAGAACTTGAACAGAAAGCAATGAAGATAAATGAGGTAATACTAGTGATGATTTGTTGTATAACAATGCTTTCCTTTTTTATTCGGGGGTGGGTTTGGGGGTTGGGGGGGTGTTGTGTGGGGAGGAGTGCAGTAACTATAATCTGAACACCAATCATCTTTGCAGGAAGCTGGTGGTGTATGTGAACAGGATCAGACTTTGTCTGCATTGGATGAAGATGACTTTCAGACTGTGATTGTAGAGAATAAACTTGGGTGTGATTTATATCTGAAAAAATTTGAAGAAAATACAGATGCAGTGGATCGGTTGCGTCATGGTGATTGTATTTCTATATGGGTGCCACCTCCAAGGTTTTCTGACAGGTTCAATGTTGCAGATGAATCTAAGGAAGCGCGCTATTATGTTGCTATTCAGATTCATGAAGCCAAGGTTGTAAATGTTGTTAGATTATCTATTTTCTTACCCTAAGATTATGTATCATTTTGTTTCCTTCTTTCAGGAGTTAAGATTGATGCTTTTGTTTGCAGGATTTACCTATTGTAGATGATGGCAACAGCCATAACTTCTTCTGTGCTTTGCGCCTTGTTGTTGATAGTCAGCCGACAGATCAACAAAAACTCTTTCCTCAAAGTGCCAGGACAAAATGTGTTAAGCCTGCACTTTCGAAAATCAATAACTTGACTGAAGGCAAGGCGGAATGGAATGAACTTTTCATATTTGAAGTTCCTCGGAAGGTATCTGAAAATTTATTATCTTCTACTTTTGACGCACATTTTCCTCGGAAGGCAACCATCAATTATGTGACAGGATTCCTTGATTTTTCTCCATACAATGCAATATATATATTGCAAGAATAATTAGAAAGATCACTGAAACAAATTATAAAAATACACATTGAAGAAGGTGATAATTTTTAAGTTTCGTCTTCTGTGTTTATGTATTAGAGAAACTGCATTTATACCTCAAGGCCCCGTGTGGTTCACAGAAATGAATTGATATGAAATCAATCCCCATATAGTTTCCCATGAACCAAACGCAGCCCAAAATTCTGAATTTCATCAGATTATGCTAAACCTTAGACATTGAACGCCACTAATTAAGTTACACTGTTGATGGCATTAGCAAGCATTTAGACTTGATATTCTGAGTGTTAAATTTCTGAGCTTGAGTGTGTAAGTGTTGCAGGGACCAGCTAAACTGGAAGTGGAGGTGACAAACCTTGCAGCAAAAGCAGGAAAGGGTATGTGGCAACCCCTTTCTTTCTTGTGAACTCGCATCCGCACTTTTTGATTCTTACATTTAGGTTGCTGATTCACATGCTTATTTAAATTAAAACTAGTAAACCTTACACTCAAGAGGGGAATGAAATCTCCAACATCTTGAATATCTTCCATGGTTCTTACTACATGTAACCATCTTGTATGTTCATAATCATAGGAACTTCTCTCATAACCTATCTGTTGCTGCTCTGATACTGTTCCCAAATACCAGCTCCACTTTGTAACTGCCTTTTTTTTTTTTTTTGCAGTTCCTTTTATTAATCCTGTGTGCGTAACAAATGAATCATGATTGTTCTCTTTTGGGTTGTTTCTTGTTTTAATTTTTTTTGTCAGCACTTTCAGGTCTTTTTGTGCTGAAACTACATATTTATGGTTATTTACCCTCCTTTCTTTGCAATTTCCCACCAAATAAATAATCATTTAGACTCAGACTTCTCATGCATTGTTTATGGTCTCAAAACAAAAATACAGGTGAAGTGGTGGGTGCACTCTCATTTTCTGTTGGGCAAGGTGCAAATATGTTGAGGAAAATAGCTTCCGTGAGGGTATTCAATCAAGGTCATGATAGTCAGAGCGTAGTATCATATCCGCTAAGGGGGAGGGTGAGCTTTCTTATTTCACATTATTTTTGCATTGATTGGTGACGTCAGTTGTGCACATGTACTGTTTGTGGAATTGGGTGTTCTTTTCATGCTTATATGATGTTGTACTTTGAAGGTTCAACATAACAATCTTGATGACATGGACGAATGTGGATGTCTGTTGGTTTCAACTTCTTATTTTGAGAGGAAAACAACTCCAATTTTTCAAAGAGATCAAGAGCCTGAAAATGCAAGTGATAGAGACATAGGTTTCTCTGTTGGTCTTGGCCCGGATGGTCTTTGGGAGAGCATTCGGTCATTGCTTCCATTGTCAGTTGTCCCCAAATCACTACAGAATGATTTCATGGCACTGGAAGTTGTCCTGAAAAATGGCAAGAAGCATGCAATTTTCAGGGGTCTTGCAACAGTTGTAAATGAGACTGATGTTAACTTGAAATTTTCAATTTGTCATGCTTCTCGGATTCGAGGTTATGATTCCTCTTTAGGAAAAAGTGATAACATAAATCCTGGAGGTTCTTTTGTTTTACCTTGGAGAAGTACATCAAATGATTCCGACCAGTGCTTACAAATTTGTCCTTCTGTTGATGACCCTCAGCCTCCATATTCATGGGGTTCTGTCGTGGCAGTGGGTTCTGGTTATACATATGGAAAGGACCTGACTCTTATAGATCAGGTTGCACTCTCTCGGCAATATACTTCAAAGCAGGAAAATAAGATGCCTAATGTTACTTTTAGGTTGAATCAGCTTGAGAAGAAAGATATACTTTTGTGTTGTTCTAGTACCATAAATAAACAATTTTGGCTTAGTGTTGGGGCAGATGCCTCAGCTCTTCATACTGAATTGAATGCACCTGTTTATGATTGGAGAATATCTGTCAACTCTCCTATGAAGTTGGAAAATCGACTTCCCTGTCCGGCTGAATTCACAATCTGGGAAAGAACAAAAGATGGAAAATGCATTGAACGACAGCATGGTATGATCTCTTCACGTGGGGGTGTTCATATATATTCCGCAGACATTCAGAAACCCTTATATCTTACATTGTTTGTTCAGGGTGGTTGGGTTCTGGAGAAGGTAAGTAGCTCTGTCTAAATACAAGTGACTTACTTTATATATCTATACACCATTGTGAGTTTAATAAATATAGTTGGTTTTTTCTGGCAGGACCCCGTTCTTGTTTTGAATCTTTATTCCAATGACCATGTCTCATCATTCTGGATGGTTCACCAGAAAAGTAGAAGGTTTGTGGTTCCAAAGAAAAATGTTTATTAAAATTTGTTTTAAATTATGTTGTTTTGCTGTTGTTCCCATGTTCACTAAAGCTCAAGCTGCTAGGATGTAGTTCGATTCATATTATTTACCACTATGGATCCCAACTTGTAATTTTCAATTTTCCTTCAGTTATATTTGACCCAAAAATAAAAAGAGGGTTTCAGTTGTAAGGATTACTCAGAGTCTCCCCCTCTTGTGCTATGTTAAATTTTTTTCTTTTTTGATTTTGTTGGGATTACCATTGTTTCTAGAAGTTTAAGATTTAGGATGTGGACCGAATATTTTTTCATATTGTAATTTTCAATTGATATTTGCTATTACTATTAAAGTTCCCCCCCACTGGGATACAGTTCTGGCTTTGTCACTAACTCGGAGCCATTGAAATGGTTATTAAATTTGTCACTCTCATAATGTGGATTATGTACCTGTCTCCTCATTGGTGTGTGTTATGTAAGCTTTGTGAGGAGAGTGTGGACCACCTTTTCTTACATTGCCCTTTTTCCTTGAGTCTTTGGGGGCTCTTGTGGAGGGAGGTTGGGACTGTTTGGGTGATTCTGAAAGGGTGCTCTGATTTTCTTTGTTCTGACTTTGTGGTTTGGGGATCGGGGAAGCGCGCTTCAACCTTATGGGGCTGTTTGGTCCACTCTGTTTTCTGGAACATTTGGATGGAGTGTAATAGGAGAATCTTTGAAGACTATAAGGGAGTGGGAGTGAGCGATCTTTGGGATAGAGTTATGTACTGGGCAGCTTTGTGGGCTTCTGTTACAAAAGATTTTAAAGACTACTCTTATTCCACAATTATGAGGGATATGGCAGCTGCTGTTAAATGAGGGTTGGGGGGTGTGTTGTTCTGTGGTTTTTCGGTTTTGTTCCTCCGTGTTAGTTTGGGAGGGGTTGGTGCTGTTTGTTTCTTTCTGTTTTGTCTTTGTTCTTCGGTTGTGGTTGCCTTATCCACCTCCGTGTTCTTTTGCTTAATAAATTTTGTTTCTTCTCAAAAAAAAAACAAACAAACAATACATCCGTTCTTCTTTGGCACTTGCAAATGGAAATATTTGGAAGTGAAGGGAAATAAATATATGATCTTTCATCATATTTTTTTTCCGCTATATCTGTGTGCCATTACAAATGTGTTAGGATGATGTCTTATTGGTATTTCTGAGATCTGTACGTATTGGAAAATAAAAAGACTTCTTGTAATTAGTATGAAGAATTTTTTTTATATCAATTATCATATCCATGATCTCCATTACATTCATCTTTACAGGAGACTGCGCGTGAGTATTGAACGTGACATGGGAGGGACCACTGTTGCACCCAAAACAATAAGGTTTTTTGTTCCATATTGGATCACGAATGATTCATCTATTCCCTTGGCATATCGAGTGGTGGAAGTAGAACCTTTAGAAAATGCAGATACAGACTCTCTAATACCTTCTAGAGTCAAGTCTGCAAAAACAGCCTTGAAAAGTCCTACAAACTCTATGGACAGGAAGCTTTCTTCCACTAGGAGAAACATTCAAGTACTTGAAGTTATTGAGGACACTAGTCCTGTTCCTAATATGCTTTCTCCACAAGATTATGCAAGCCGCAGTGGGGCTTCGCTGTTTCCATCTCAAAAAGATGTATATCTGTCCTCACGAGTGGGCCTTTCTGTTGCCATTCGTCATTCAGAAATATACAGTCCTGGGATATCTCTTTTTGAGCTGGAAAAGAAGGTGACTATAAGAACATCAAATTGGCTTCTAATATTTCTTCTTTCTCCTTTTAGTTACTATTGCTTCGGAGTTGCTGAAATTTGTTCTCGATCATATGATGCTTCTTGAATTTTCATTTCCAGGAAAGGATTGATGTCAAAGCATTCAGTTCAGATGGATCTTATTACAAGCTTTCAGCGCGACTGAACATGACCTCAGACAGAACAAAGGTTGGATTTTAATATCTTGTGACTTAAATCTTTAATGTTTCTCCTCTGAGGAACTGCAAAAATGTGATGATGGACTTGCCAAATTAGACTGATAAATATTGTCTATAGATCTGATTTTAGGAAAATAAGATGACCCATAGCCCAAAAAAATATGATAAAAGATTCTGGTCAGCAGGCCATTTGCATGTTTAGAATGAACAGGAGGATCATTGCATGGGGAGGGTTTTACTCATTTGTAAAAACTATAGTTGCTTTTTTCGTACTTGGTGGTAGTCATAAGCTATGCGTTTGTTAAGTTTCATTGATATAGGTATGTATATATATTTTTCATTAATAAAAAAATTTCTTAATGGTTGATATTCAGGTTGTGCAATTCCAGCCCCACAGCTTGTTTATTAATAGAGTTGGTTCCAGCCTGTGTCTGCAGCAGTGTGGTTCTCAGTCTGTGGCATGGATTCATCCCACAGATTCTCCAAAACCCTTCTGTTGGCAGTCTTGTGCCAAAGTTGAATTGTTGAAGGTCAGTGAAGTTTAATAATATTTCATATTCACATAATTATCATGAATAGCATACATCGTCTGACTCCTATGTGGGGTTTATTTTTCTTTTCAGTTGCGGGTGGATGGTTACAAATGGAGTGCACCATTTAGTGTTTGTAATGAAGGTATCATGCGTGTTTGCATGAGGAAGGATACTGGAAATGAACAACTTCAGTTTCGAATAGCTGTAAGAAGTGGAGCAAAGAATTCAAGCTATGAAGTTATTTTCCGTCCGAACTCTTCCTTGAGTCCTTACAGGTCACAGTTTACTATCTCTTGTGAAAGTTTGTGAAATAAAAAAAGATGATGTTGATGGCAGTGTATTTATCATAAGAACAAAAGAATTGTTTTTGACTTTATATTTTGGGAAAAATTTCTTGAACTAGTTGTGTCTATTAACATGGAAGTCTTCTTATTGCAGTACAATAAAATCATATGTACTAGTTTCTTCTTCTTTACTTGTATACATGTGTTTGTTGTTTCTTGGTCCAATGCTGATAATTTTCTATCAACAGGGTTGAAAATCGTTCCATGTTTCTACCCATCCGAATTCGGCAAGTGGATGGTACTAGTGATTCGTGGAACTTTCTTCTTCCTAATACAGCAGTTTCTTTTTTATGGGAAGATCTTGGCAGAAGGCGTTTATTAGAAATCCTGGTAGAGGGGGAAGACCCATTGAAATCAGGGAAGTATGATATTGATGAGATTTCTGATCACCAACCTATTCACGTGGGAAGTGGACCTTCTAAAGCTCTACGTGTTACTGTAATAAAAGAAGAGAAAGTGAATGTCATTAAGATCAGTGACTGGATGCCAGAAAGTGAACCTGCTGGAGTTTTGAGTAGAAGCCAGTCATCACTTTTGTCTCAACTTTCTATACAGCAACAATCACCTTTTCTCTCTGATTGTGAATTTCATGTTATCATTGAGCTAGCTGAGCTTGGGATATCCATTATTGACCATACACCCGAAGAAATTCTCTACCTTTCGGTTCAGAATCTTCTGTTTGCATATTCAACTGGCTTAGGCTCTGGAATCAGTCGGTAAGTTTGCTTTCAATTGAGACTTGATGGCTTAGAGAACAAAGTGCTTAATTTATTAGTCAATGGATCCAAGTAAATCTCTGCTGCCTTTTTTCTTTGCTTAATTTATTAGACAATTGAGACCTGGAGTGTTTACGCAATGATATCTACTGTTGTATTTTTCTGTTGGTCTTGCTAATAAATGTTGCTAGTCGAATTTTAGGTCTGTAGACACTTTGCCCTCTGTTTTTACAATTTCATTTTTATTATTGATAGTTTCTTTATTAGCATAAATAGAAAATAGAAAACAATCATATCACCTAGGGACTGAAAAATCTGGACCAAGCAAGAATCAAAGCATTGATACTATATTGTTTATAATGCACCAATGCGCATTGATGAATATTATTTTCAGTTAGATATAATCTTTCATGAAATATTTCACATTCCATGTATACGCTTCGATACATTTCATTTTCACTTAAAATTGAGTCTTACTTAGTAAAATAAGATTTACAGTATACTGGAGGCCAATAGTTGGTGACAGGCTTTCATATTATGCGGTCCATGTAAGTCTCAACAGACAGCTTTGTGGTTGTTTCCTGTTAGCAGATGTATATGAGAATCACAATTCTGAAGTGTAAACTTAGCTTAATTTACTCTCCAACTGACCAACCTATGGATTACCTACAAATTGGCTACTTAATTAGACAAAGGCTGAGGCCCCTTGGGATGCTATTGTTGAATTGTATTTTTATCTCTTATGATTGACAATTATTAATTCAGGAATTGTGTTCTTGTCCTGTTTGCAGGTTGAAACTTAGAATGCGTGGGATACAATTGGATAACCAGTTGCCATTAATTCCAACGCCGGTTCTTTTTAGGCCACAGAGAGTTGGGGAAGAGACTGACTATATCTTGAAACTTTCAATCACAATGCAATCCAATGGGTCGCTAGATCTGTGTGTCTATCCATATATTGGTCTCCATGTAAGTACAAGAAAGTTCTCATTACCTAGAAGAAGATTTCTGATTTTTTTTACTTCCTGTTTCCCCCCAATTTATTTTAACTATATGTCTACTGATTATTCAGGGACCTGAGAACTCTGCCTTTTTGATAAACATTCATGAACCTATCATCTGGCGCATTCATGAAATGATTCAGCAGGTCAACCTTAGTCGGTTGTATGATACTCAAACAACTGCTGTTTCTGTTGATCCAATCATTGAAATTGGGTATGCAAGGACTTTCAAAATTGGCATATCATTGTATTTTGCTACATTTAGTTGTAATTCCCTTAATTTATGGTACCTTTATTTGCAGAGTTCTTAGCATCTCAGAGGTTCGATTCAAAGTGTCAATGGCTATGTCACCAAGTCAAAGGCCAAGAGGTGTTCTTGGCTTTTGGGCATCTTTGATGACTGCATTGGGCAACACTGAGAATATGCCAGTAAGTGTTGGGATTCTTCCTCCTATTTCTTGAGGTTTTCTTCTCTGGAATTCCTCCCAGAATATCTTGTCTGGACCTAAGTAATTGGAATGTGAAGGCTCATTATCAAAGTCTCGGTGTTGAATGCTTTATTATGGGATAACATACTTAGAAATATGTATTTGGTAGATCGTAGATGACTTTTAGCTTTGCATCGCATACTTATAAACTCTTCATCTGACTTTGCAATATATACATGGACTGTTCTTGCATCATATATTTCATAGAGTACATTTAACACAATATATTTACATTCGTTATTCAGGTGAGGATAAATCAAAGGTTTCATGAGAACGTGTGCATGAGGCAGAGTTCAATGATTAGTATTGCTATTTCAAACATTCGAAAAGATCTCCTAGGCCAACCTCTTCAACTGCTATCCGGTGTTGATATATTGGGTAATGCAAGTAGTGCACTTGGACATATGAGCAAGGGCATGGCTGCCTTATCATTTGATAAGAAGTTTATTCAAAGCCGACAGAGACAGGTTTGCTTTAGAGTTTGTCATTTGAATTAATATACTTACACATAATTGCTTAAAATTGGATATCGTTAGTTGCCAAAGTTCTTTTCTTTTGGCCTGTGGACTGATTATTTTATCATACGTTACAAATTTTTAGTTGGTACTTTATCATACATGTTAGGAGATAAAATAATAATAAATAATTATTGGCCCATATGCTAACTTAAACTTTTGGGACTGTAAACGAAAAAAATTTATCACGGTATGTGAGCAGGAGTTTCTGAGTTTGAGTCTCTGATTGCATCTTTCCACTATAAAGTTGAATTCCACATATTGGGCTTAATGGTGGTAGGAGACCTGCATGCCAGGGGTAATGAATCTATAAAACGATTGATGGCCACATCCTAATCACTTAAGCTTTTGGGACTTGTAAAACTGACAAACTTTATCAATACGTGCGATGCTTTAGAGGAATAAACTGGAACCTTTTCATTCTTATTGCAAAGTGACTAAAATTGTTTTTAAAATTTGCTCATTTTGGACCTTGGTCATTATGTAAGGCTTTCTATCGCTGGACCATGACCACCCTGTGATGAGATTGTCCGGATTTGCATTGGATTCTTGTTGTGCCATGAGCAGATTTTAAAATTTTAGTTTGATCTTTTGATAGATGTTTAGTACATTGATTTCTTAGTTAACCATTTTTATATTAATTTGTTCGTATATGGTCTGGCACATGAAAACAACCCGTGCAATCTACGATACTCTCCTTGTGTTGTACTTTTCGATCTCTTGCTCATTGCAATTTCTACACATGAATCTCAATGTCTGCAATTTATTTAAAAAATTTACTTTGGCAGGAAAGCAAGGGCGTGGAGGACTTTGGTGATGTTATTAGAGAGGGTGGTGGAGCACTGGCAAAAGGCCTCTTCAGAGGAGTCACTGGAATATTAACAAAGCCGCTTGAAGGTGCAAAAACTTCTGGCGTTGAGGGTTTTGTGCAAGGTGTTGGGAAAGGATTAATAGGTGCAGCTGCACAACCAGTGAGTGGGGTTCTAGATCTTTTGTCAAAAACTACCGAGGGTGCCAATGCGATGAGAATGAAGATAGCATCAGCTATAACTTCTGATGAGCAACTGCTCCGCAGACGATTGCCTCGTGTTATTGGTGGTGATAATTTAATTCGGCCATATGATGGGGACAAGGCACAGGGACAGGTACTAGTTGTTTGACTTTCTTTAAAATCTTTATGTTGGAAATTTTATGTTTATTGAGCATGGGCTGGTTTTATTGATACCCCTTTTATTGCTCACTCTACTCCCAACTTAAACATAAAATGAAAAGTTATGGTTGATACCCCTTCATATTCCATACTTTCTCATCTTCTTCAACCTTAAATTAAGTAAATCTACTTGTATGATTATTTGTTGGTTGATATCCAGCTTGCTGTCTTGTTTGGTTATAATCTACTTGTATTCAGTAGCTAAAATTAATTATTTTTCTTTTGTCATGAAGGCTATATTGCAGCTGGCAGAATCAGGTTCATTTTTCCTCCAGGTTGATCTGTTTAAAGTACGTGGGAAGTTTGCCTTATCAGATGCTTATGAAGATCACTTTGTACTCCGCAAAGGAAAAATTCTTCTAGTCACTCATCGAAGATTGATACTGTTGCAAGTAAGTTAGCTGGATTAGAATCATTTCTATCCCTCCCCTCCTATCTGCTATACACCATACTCAAAAGTCACCAAACAATGACATTGTATTTTTTGTCATTCAGCAACCCTTCACCGTAGCTCAGAGGAAGTTCAACCCGGCTAGGGATCCATGTTCTGTACTGTGGGATGTACTTTGGGATGACCTGGTCATAATGGAAAAGTCATATGGAAAAAAGGACCACCCAAAAGCCCCACCTTCAAGGGTCATTCTTTATTTACAAGAGAAATCAACTGAGGTGAGGGAACAAGTTCGAGTCATAAAATGCATCCCTGATACCCCCCAGGCTCTTGAGGTGTACTCCTCGATTGAACGAGCAATGAACACTTATGGGTCAAACAAACCAAAGGTTAGTGTTTAATGCCATCGCTTTGAGCTCTGCAGTGTCAGGTTATTGCATTGACTTTTATCTTTGTCAAGGTTGGTTGACCATAGAATGCTAAAATTATACCTGCAAACTAAAAATGAAATTCTAAAATGTTTTATCCCCTTGCATTGAAAGTTTCGACAAGAATGTAAAATTTTCTGAAATGGATTGCATATGGTAAGTTTGTCTTGAGTCATTTATTAATGATCTGTTGTTGGCGTAGCTGATAAATACTTTATTTTTGGGGGCTCATTCGCTGCACCCATATAACAAGTTACTAAAGTTTGAAATATTCTTCCTAAATAGTTTTGTTATGCGGCATTCTTCTGGATACCTTACAATGAAAAACTTTGCTTTAATTCAGAGAATGCTGAAAAAGAGTGTGACAATTCCATATGCACCAATGTTTGATAGCGCCAGCGCTGAAGCTATACCAAAAGAAGGGGCTAGTGTCTTGTCGCCCCGACAGGTGCCTACATCAATTCCTCGTAGTTCAACTTTTGGCAGCAGCAGCAGCAGCAATTGATTTCTAGATCATTGCCCTTGGGGAAATATGGTTTTTGGGATTTCTGTTGTGGGTCAGGTCATGAATTCCGACTATTGGTGTTTCTTTTTCTGGTTTCAGCCTGCATGTTCAGATGTTCTCACCGTTTGACAGGTATTCTATTTGTGATCGTTGCATGAATGTATTGCAGTTATATTGATGTGTGTATGGATTCAAATATTTAATGACATTAATATGCAATTTTGTTCAGAAATCTTTGCAGATTACAACAATGAAGAGGTTGTTTGTGTAGGTTTTTTATAAGAAGCCATGTCAAGGACAAGTGACAAAGACCTTGTAGGGCATGGATATGAACGGTGTAGCTTCAATTACACATCCATAGGTTTTTTTATATTTATAGATACCACTCTCCTAAATATGTACAGGTTTGAACCTTCCATGTATATGTCTTAGAATAGTCAATGTATACGAACAGAAATTACTGAAGGTGATCAAGCCGATTGGTTTAAGATCCCACAGTAGCTGTAGATCTGGTCCCGTATGAGCATCATGATATATTATAGGTGACGGATAGGCTTAGGAAGTAAAATCCTAGTGGTTGGGCACCCTGTTTAATGTATGGTGTAGTGTAGCATATGAATTGCCTTCAAACAAAAGTTAAAACCTCACCTGTTCAATTATAAAGCTGTAATCTTTTTGGTTTTCATATCTTTGCTGCATGCAAGTTACTACGTAGGAGTTTTTGTCAATTGTCAGCCTTGAAAATAAACTAGATTTTGTCAGCGACTTTCCTTTCCTTTTTATTTGATCAGAAAAAACACCCAGCTCAAAAAATGAAGGTTCTTTAACTTTTATTTTTTGTTTTCCGTGGCCCGTGATATTTCTTGTTTTGTTTATTGTTCAAGTACAGAATCAATCAAACTATTATATTGTATTTTACTAAGCCCAAATATTGTGAATTTGGGCCCAAAAACTTCATCAACTCAGATATTTAGGGTCCAAAATTTGAGACCAAGCCCCTCCTAGGTGTTACGGTCCGACGGAGCCCAACTTCGGTGGCTTGCTTCAGGAAGAGGGAGCTGTGGTTGTTGAGATCCAACGGCCACCATTTGAATTTGCTTCTTTTGTCTTTTTCCTTTTTCAGGTAAGACAGTTCCCTTTGTTGGCCATCACGTGTCCTTCATTCAAGTATTCCAAAAATTATAATAGTTGTTTTCCCCCAAAAACAAAAACAATAAAATGTTATCTTTTTTTTAATCGATTTTTTTAACATATACAAACGATATTAAGGTAAGGGCAGCAGAGGAAGCTAAGGAACAAGGTGGGCATGTGTCCCCTCTCAACTCTCTTCTTAATACAATCATACTTTTCTTAACCAAATTTTATTTCCCTCTTCGTATTTTTCTCTTATTTTCCCTTCTCACTATCATTGCTACCCTTTCAATATCTCTTATTGCTCCGACTCTTGATTTTATAGTGATAAATTATCGTTCAAATTTTCTTTGTGAGTATTTTTATAAAGTAAATTTCATTTGATTTTTTGCTAGGATCAATAATGAGTAGATAGTTAATATAACAAGTAAAATAATGAAGGATATAAATTAAAACTAGGGATTTTGTAATTAGTTTGGTTGTCACTGTAAAAAAAATATTTCAAAATATGAGGTGCCCCCTTTGTGAAGATTTTTTGGTTCCGCCACTGGGGAGGGGGCTTTTCTCATACATACTGTTAAGTTGTTTTGAAAGTTGTAATCTTAGGGGTGCACTTTTTCACTAGACTATATGTCCGTTGACTTAAATATTATCTTTTATCTACTTCTCTTTTGTATTTAATGTATTAAAATTTTGTGTTTGAAATTTGAAAGTTTTTAGATTAAAATGTTGAGAACAATAAATCACATAAATCAAAATAAACTCAAAGCAAATTACACACAAAATTGTTTTGAGGCATGGTTGGAGAAAAAAAAAAACTTTTTTAGTCTGAGTCCGAGATATATACAGGGAAAAAAAAATCAATTGAATCCTCTAGCACTGGAGATGCCTTGCTTGCTTAATTTATCAACCAAATTTTTTTATTTAACCAAATCATTGACGTCCATCAGAAGAAAAAAAGTAAACCAATTGACAGGTTGAAAAGAGAAATGATGTACGCAGAAAAATTACAGTGGGAAACGTGGGGGTGAGAGATAAACAAGAAACGAAAAGACATCTTATTAATAAGCTAGCCACGCGTACGGTTATGATGCTGTTCTTCTTTACTTTCCCGCTAACATGAAGCATTAGCATACACTCTTTATCTCTCTCACTCTGTTCAACTTCCCATAAGAGATACAACGCCCCAAATTCCCTTCTTCTCCTCTTCTCTTTCCTCAGTTCCTCTAGGCAACTCATTCCAAACGAGGTTTGGCTTCAACTTACTTTGTGTTATTTTATTTTCTTCAGAAAATGAATATTTGAAAGAAGCAAAAAGTGTCATTTTGTTATGCTTCTTATCTTGTTTTTTATTTATGTTTTTTCCTGGTTCCGGCTTATTCTGTCATTTTCACGTCTATAATATACCAACATGGTCATTTTTGCATATTTTGTTCTTATTGTTTCATTCGTTATGTTAGTTTTGAGTTCACAGTTCTGTGGGTGAATAAAGTTTACATTTTTAAGATTCCATTGCAAGATTTTTGGCTCTGTTGTTAATGGGTATCCATGATTCTACCAATAGTATTTTACTTTTGTTTTTATTATACAAAATATGGGGTTGATAGGGTGCTAATAATTTTTTTTTTTTTATAGATATGTCTGGGGTTCCTGAAAATAATGAAGCTATTTGTTCTGGAAAGAATGGAAAATCTTATCATGGAATTGAAGGCAGTATTATTGGTAGCAATTATGGGAATTCCATTCCATCAGATCCAGATATAGAGGAGAATGATGAGGGGTCTAAAAATGATATGGAAGAAGCTCTAAGAGAACTTGCAATGTTTATGTGCTGTGTAGGTTTAGTTCCATTTAAGGTGGTTGAAGATATGTTTTTTCTGAATCTGGGATATAAGCTGGTTGAATATGATGAGCAGAAAACTCTGAGGGCTCTTGCAGATTTTGTTTGCTCCGTAGACTTTCCACCTCAGTTGGTTAACCATATTACTTTTAGAAAGTTGGCAAATAGGCTTAACCCTTTGTTTAATCTTACTTATGGCATGGTTAGAAGTGAATGCATAAAAGTCTATGAGGAAAGGAAATGGTGGATTAAAGAATACTTGGGAAATTTGGATGGACAGATTAGCCTATCGGTGGACGTACTGGGATATGAAAATGTGCGTAACTTCTGTTGTTATGATTATGTATGCCTTTCTGCACATTTTATTGATGAGAATTGGAAGCTCAGAAAGTGGGTACTTTACTTCCGTTGTCGCTGCGATCCCTCTGTTAATTGCTCTGAAGATTGTGGAATTTTTAAGTCCCTTGAAGATTTGGAGATTGCGGACAAGATATCCACACTTGCCACAAGTAATGATCGCTGCTACGCTAAAATGTTTGAGTATGTGAAAACTCACGTCCAAGAAAAGAAGGAACTTCAACTTAGTGGTCAGCTGTTTAATGTGTATTGTTTTGGGGAAATAATCAGTCAAATGGTTGAGGATGCATTTCGCAAGATTAGAGATCTCATTGACAGAGTTGGTGAACTGTATTCTTCAAAATCGTTACCCTTGTGGTATCTCACAAGTTCTAACCTAAAACAAGCTCTTGAGTTATGGTCTATGGGAGAATTTTCTTCAAAAGATGTGACTGATTCTTACGACGTACCATCCCCTGAGGAATGGAAAATTGTTGAAGGTGTTTGCAAAATTGTAGACAGCATATATGAAGTGTCAAATGCATTATTCCAAACCAAACATCTAACTGCCAATGTTTATCTTTATCACCTTCATGAGCTCCGCGAAATCCTATCCCAAATGTCCTCAGAATCAGAAGGTTTCATTGCAACAATAGTTCAGGACATGATGAAAAAGTTTGACAAGTATTGGGACGACATGTTCTTGCTGTTGGCAATATGTGCAGTTCTGGATCCTCGATTTAAGATGAAATATGTAGAATTTATTTGTTCAAAAGTTAAGGGTGGGGATGGAAGCTCACAAGTAGCAGCTGTTTTGGGGGCCTTTAACAAATTGTTTGATGACTATGTGATCCGTTATCTTGAAAAAGAGAACTTCATTAGCGAATCATCTTCTTCTGATTCAGATTCAGAAGAGGAGTCTCCTCCTAGACAGGAAAATCATACTTTTGGTGTGCTGCAAGCCTACCAGCAATTCATCCAATTGGATAATCAGCCTACAAAAAAATCAGATTTGGAATACTATTTGGAAGAACCTGTTTTACCTTGGAGCCAGGATTTTAATGCATTGACGTGGTGGAGAACCGCAGGTGCTAAGTATCCTATACTTTCCAGGATGGCACGAGATCTTTTGGCTATCCCGGTTTCTCTTGCAACCTCATTTGATGCATTCTATACTGAACCAAGGCCAGTTGATGAACGTTTAGTTTGCTTGAAGCCAGACTTGATGAATGCCTTAATCTGTACTCGGAGCTGGCATGGGAGGTTCTTCTGAAAGCATATTTGCAGGTTATCAGTGCAATTTTATTCGCCGTTATTTGTTTCTTTTGTATTCTTGATTATTATTATTCTCTATCCTGCAGAATGATCTCTCACATGTGTTTGTTTCTTTTTAATGTGGTGTTGATGTCTTCAACAGGTACAGTTTTTTGCTTTCAGCTCATGATTACTAGAAGGTTTGGGAATCAGTTTTGTTAAGCAATTGGCATGGACACCAAGTTTGTTACTTTTGAACAGCATTAAGGAAATCGGATATTTAATTTTGTTGGTATTAGAACTGTTTATGGATAATTTTCCCTTGGATAGTGAGAATTTGTTATCTTGATGTCCGGGGATGGTTTAATATATGAATTTCATATTTGACTAATAGCCTCTCTGTTTGTGAGATGATGCACTTGTGGGAATTCAAAAGAAAAAAGCCTATCTTCAATTTTGTCGAGTGTAATTGATGCCTATCCCATTTGTTGTTCTTTATGAATATTTTGTTCTCGTGGTTATTCAAATTCCATGCCATATTAGTCTTTCTGGTATTAGATCTTCTTAGTTGTTAATGATTCTTAATCTTAGTTCTTAATGAAAGTGGGTTAAGCTTCCCATTTCTATGGAAGTTTATTGAACCTATATGAACATTAAAAACTAGATTGCCTACTATTATTTTACATTTATATGCCTAAGAGATTGGACGCCAATTTTTTTCATGCAAAAGGTGAAGTGGTCAACAGCCAAACAACACAATAACTTCAACAACACGACGAAATAATTAGATTAGGATTGTGATAGGTGAAGAGTTGGATTCACCCTAATGTAACCTAGCCACGTGTACGGTGCTGATGCTGTCCTCTTTACTTTCCCGCTAAAATGAACTATAACGCAAGCAACCTGCCTATATACTGTGTTTCTCTCTCAGTCAGTCTAGGCTCTAGCCATGCATTTTGGAGCAAGTATATTGAATTGAAACATGGCCATTTCGAGTTTGGTAGAAATCGCCTATTCCTTTTTTTTTTTTTTCCGTAGTCTAAACAATCGCCTAACCCTTTTTTTAAAGAAAAAGGGAATACTAGCAACTTTCTCTCTAATATTCTCTTTTGGACATTCTTTATTTTTCTCATGACATGTGTCACATTCCTTACACTAAAAACAATATTGTTAATGCAGCAAACAAGTTAACTTTTCTTTTTCAAATTTACCCTTAATAAATATTTTTATTCAAAATTTTTACAACTTTTTTGTTAGAGCATCCACAATGATGCTCTCTATTTCTTAGCTAAAGACATGTGAAGAAGAAGGTATTGTAAAATAAATAAATAAAGATCAAACATTGAGGGGTTGGGTTTTCATCGGCGGGGGAGGAGTCGAGGTTGTGGTGGGAAAATGAAATTAATGGCTGGGGTGGGAGGTGAGGGTGGCTGCGCAGGTGGGAGAAGGAGAGATGAGTTGTGGGTGTTTACTGTTGGGTTTTCCCAGAGAAGGAGGGGGCGAGGGCTAGTTGGGGTGGGGATTGGGTGATTGAAGAACCCCTTTTTTTATTGTTTATTATTTTAAAAAATAAAAAAGGGCAAATACGAAAATACAATTAATGTTCGTTTGTGTAATTAAAATATTGGTTTAAGTGAGAGAGAAGTGACACTTGTCATAAGTAAAAGAGAGAATGTCCAAAAGAAAAGGTTGTTAGCATTCCCCTAAAGAAAATATTAGGCTTACTGCATTTATATCAGTGGTATACACTTTTTTAATGAATGTGAGCCTCATTGTATTAGTGGGCTCCATTTCTATGAGAAAAGTGGTACACAATGTGAAGTTTTTTTCTTTTCTTTTGGAGGACTTTTCCTATTGAGATGGACGATAATATATTAAATTTACACACACTACATGAGTGTTAGAACTCAAATCCAAAACTTTGCCTGGAAGAGCAGTACAAATATGGTATATAAATTTAATAAACCTAACATTTTCCCTTCTTTTAAACATACGAGAAAGGTAATGTATGCATCTCTTATGTAAGAATTAGAGATTTGTCTACAGAAATTGATTTTTTTAATTTTTATTTTGGGAAAAAAATGGTTTGGTTTCCCAGTTTTAAACAAAAAAGGTTACAAAGAAGAAGCGAGAAAATGAAAAGACATGTTTTGTCTTATACCACAAAAGGAAATTTAATGCATGTCTTATCAATAAGCTTAGCCACATGTACGGTTCTGATGCTGATCATTCTAACTTTCGCGCTAAGCAACTCATAACTCACTCACACACTGTTTCTCTGAGAGTCTATTTCATTTCCCACAGAAACCCAAAAGTCCCTTTGGCTCCTCCTTCCTCACTTCCTTTCCTTCTTCCTCTCGCCGACTCGACGCAGAGGTTAGACCTTCAACTCAAGATTGTATCTTTATTGTTCTCTTATCAAAATCAACAGTTGAAATAACGATTCCATGCATTTTGCTTCCTCCACTGTCAGTATGTGTTATGCTTTTTATGTTTCTTTGTTCTGGGTCTGGCTTCTTCTCTCATTTTCGGGTCTTGCTTACCAATATGGTCACTTTTTTGTGTGTTTTGTTATTATTCTTTCGCTCGTTATCTTATCTTTGAGTTTTCTGTTCATTGGGTGAATAAAGCTTGTGTTTTTAAGACTTCACTGCAAGATTTTTGGTTATATTGTTGATGGGTATCCATGATTGTGCGGAAAGAGTTCTTGAGTGCTTTCGACTTCATTCATGATTTAGTGGAAAAAAAAAAAAAAAAAAAAAAACAAGATGGGGTTGCTATGAATGGTGCTAATAATTTTGTGTTTATTAGATATGGCTGGGGTTCCTTCCTGGAGCAAGCCATGATTGTACGGAAAGAGTTCTTTTCTTGAGTACTTTCAACTTCATACATGATTTAGTGGGAAAAAAAAAGATGGGGTTGCTATGAATGGTGCTAATAATTTTGTGTTTGTTAGATATGGCTGGGGTTCCTGGAGCTAACGACGTTATTGGGTCTTCAAAGAATGGAATATCTGATCATGAAAATAGCGGCAGTGGTCATAGCAAGGATGTGAATTCCATTTCATCAGTTTCAGATACGGAGGGCACCGAGGAGGTACTTGAAGATGATCAGCAAAGTGATTTAAGGACTCTTGCCGAGTTGATTTGCTTTGAAGAAGTTCCACCTAAACGGTTTGAAAATATTGATTATGCACTCTTAGGTGAGTTCAGCCCCCTGTTTAAGCCTAGTTTCAATGAGATTGAAACTGAATGCATGGAAGTCTTTGAGAAAAAGAAAATGGAAACCAAGAAAATCTTAGGAAATTTTGATGGACAGATTAGCCTCTCGGTTGAAATTCTGAGGTGTGAAAGTTACTTTGAGCCTAGCTGCTGCGGTGATTATTTGTGCCTTTCCGCACATTTTATTGATGAGAATTGGGAACTGAATGATTGGGTACTTCACTTCTGTTCTATTTCGGTTTCGGGTCCATCGGATGATTCCCTTCACAAATATGAAGATTGGGGCATTTTAAGGTCGCTTAAAGATTGGGGCATTGAGAACAAGATCTCCGCACTCACTGTGAAAAATGATAATTGCAATAATGAATTGGTTGAGTTTCTGAAAACGCACATCCAAGGAAAGATGGAACTCCAACTTAATGGTAAGCTGTTTTGTGTGTATTGTTGTGGGGAAATGATCAGCGTAATGGTGCAGGATGCATTTGACAAGATTGCAGATATTGTTCACAAGGTTCGTCAGGTGTATACTTTTAAAACTGATTACCCCATGTGGTTTCTCAAATTGTTAAACCTGCAAGAAGCTTTGAAGTTATGGTCTCAGGGAAATGTCTCTTACAGAGATGTGACTCACTCTCATAACGTGCCTTCCCCAGAGGAATGGAAGAAAGTTGAAGGTGTTTGTAAAATTGTAAACAGCATATATGAAGTGACAATAAGAGCATTCTTCAACACAACACCTCTAACTCCCAATGTTCATCTTTGTCGCCTGCTTGAGCTTCGCAAAATTCTGGCCAAAATGTCAATTGACTCAGATAGTTTTAACAGAACAGTAGTTGAGGACATGTTGAAAAAGTTTGATAAGTATTGGGATGACATGTTCTTGCTGTTGGCAATATCTACAGCACTGGATCCTCGATTGAAGTTGAGATATATTGAATTTGTTTGTTCAGAAGTTAAGGATTGGAATGGAAACTCACAAGTTGCAGTTGTTTTGGGGGCCATTCACAAACTGTTTGATGAATATGTGGTCCGTTTTCCGTTGCAATACAACCAGCAGTTCATCCATTTGAATGATCACCCTAAAGAAAAATCAGACTTGGATTGCTATTTGGAACAACCTGTCTTACCTCACAGTCAGGGTTTTAATGCATTGGCTTGGTGGAGAACAGCAAGCGCTAAGTACCCTACCCTTTCCCGGATGGCACGTGATTTTTTAGCCATTCCAGTTTCTTTTGCGACTCTAAGTGAGGCATACTATACCGTACCAAAGCCAGCTGATGAACATATAGTTTGCTTGAAGCCAGACTTGATGAATGCCTTGATGTGTACTCGAAGCTGGGTATAGTAGGCAGGCAATGATAGAATGTTAACAGGTAATTATCAATACTATTTCCTTTTGTTCTCAATTATTTTCAAGATGATTTAATTCTCACTAAACTTGTTTCCCCCTTTTTTCGTGCGTGTGCTTGATGTCGAGAACAGGAGCAGTTTTTTATTTTTGCTGCTCTTCCTTAGCTTATGGCTGCCTCACTTTTGGAAGGCTTTGGAATCAGAATAGCAAAGCCATTGACTTGGGCATTAAGACCAGTTACTTTTGAACTCCGTTGTAGTTTTGAATTGTTCTATTGAAAAGATGATGGAATGTGTTGCTCAGTGTCACGCTCAATATGATGGAAGCTACCAGCTAATGATATTAGAAGCTTAAAATTCATCTGACTTGATCTTTTCCCAAAAACATGCCTTGGAAACCTTACATCATGTTTATGAACATTTGAATGCTTAACTTAAAATTTTACCAATTTTTTTTCTTTTTTTCTTCTTCTCTTTTGGTATTTTGAAGCAAAACCAATGTCATACTAATTTAATTTAGAGATATTTAGTTATATACTCATTCTTAGCACTAATAATATAGATAAACCTTACATCATTTAATTTCAATAAACAAACTATAAAAAAAACCCAAAAAATGACAGCTGATCCTATTGAGTTTAATTTTGATTATTAAATTACTTTGATGTTCTATTGAGTGTTTTGAGTATTTTTATGAGGTTTTAGGTTGAGCTTGTTTTAAGAAATTGATTTTTGTAATTTACAAGAAGTTAAAAGTCTCTTTGTTATATTGTAAATGGGCTTTGAGTGTGTTTTTAAAGTTCATTTCATATAGGGTTTTTTTAATTTTATAATTTGGGCTTCTATATTAGGTATAATAGTGACTCTCCCTTTAATTTAAGGACCAAAAACTAATATGAAGTATTACCTTGGAAGACATTTGAATGATAGACGTTGGGGTTTCCTTCTAACTACACAATTTCTAAAACAGATTAGAGAATTATTTGTGTGCTCAATTCTCTATGGTGTCCAACATTTAGACTTAACGTCGTGGCTTGGAATCGTAATAAAAAATGAAACTAGTTTGTTCATGAAGATTTTCTTGACCAAAACAACACACAAGATTTCTTTCTCAGATACTTCTTTGTTTCATA